ACACACACACACACACACACACACACACACACACACACACACACACATTTGTTTCCATGGGGGATTACTTATTTAAATCCTCAAAGTAAATGCTTTTCTAGCTACTGCAATAGATAGAAAAATAGGAAACAAAGTTTTGGTGTATGTTATTTTTGAGTAATCTATTCTATTGAGCAGTTATCCAGCTTTGGCAATTATGTGGACTTGGCTTTAGCTGTTATGTGAAATTTTCCTTTCTCTTATTTCCTCTAAAATCTCTCAGGCAAGGTACAAATTAGATCTAATTACAGTCTGAACATAGCCCCAGGCTTCTCCTGTTTGCTTCCTTTTGGGTTGACTTTATATGATTTACCATGCAACATTTGAAAAAAAATATCAAGGCATGGAGATTTAATCTGAAAGCTTATTTTATGGGTGGATTTATTATTATTATTATTATTATTATTCCTTAATATCCTTGTAAAAAGCAAGGAACTTTCTATTCAAATTAGCAAAAGGAATTAAATTTTATCATGTTGATTTTCATATAGTGGTAGTGGACATAATTCAATTTGTTGCCTCATATAATTTACAATTAAGATACCTCTTAGTCAAAAATAGTATCTTATTGACAATCGTGAAGCATTTCCACTTATTTATTCATTTATTCGACGAATATTTACTGAGTTCCTATTTGAAAATATTTTTATATTATTCAAAGCATTTAACTCTATAATTTGCTTTTATGTGTTTATTAATATAAATGAGACACATAAGATTCCTGCTTTAATGGAGCTTACATTCTAGGGAGCTGTCATAATAGACATGTAAATAGGTGATCAAAGTAATTTCAGATACAGATGAGTTCAATGAAGAAAGTAAACAAGATGATCATGGAATGGAGGCTCTCAGCAGCTTCAGAACAGATGGTCAGGAAGGGCCTCTGAGCATGTTAGACCTGAGAAGACAGGCAGAGAACCAGTAAGTGCAAATGCTCTAAGATGAGAACATGTTTGGCAAATTCAAGGAATATAAAAAAAGGCCACTGTGGCCAGATCATAATGATTAGAGGGAAAGTCCGTAGGAAACAAGTATGACAGGTAAGATAAGCAGGGGCTAGATCAAATATGCCTTGCATGTCAAAGAAAGTGGTTTAGAGTTTATTCTCTTTGCTATGAGGAAGCAGGAGGGTGGTCTGATCTAATTGTCTTTTCTCAAAGCTCCACCTGGCTATGTATGGAGAATGGACTGTAGTGAGGCCACAGTGGAAGCAGAGAGGCCACTGGGGGAATATTGTAGGGGTCCAGGTGGCAGATGATATTTTGGACGAGACAGCAGTGGTAAAGGTGAGAAGTGAGTAGTTAGAATATGATTTGGAGGTCTAGCTGACAGGTCTTGCTGATGCATTTGACTCGAAGAGAGGGGGCAGGAGGAAGGAATCAAGGCTGAGTTGGCTCCTAAACTTGGGGTCTGATAGCTAAGTGGGTGATAGGACCTAAGAGGATTTATTCAGAAGTACAAAAAAAGTTTCACTCTCTTCGTTGTGCCTTTCAGGCATGAAATCATCAACATTAACCTGAAAAATAAGCCTGAGTGGTTCTTTAAGAAGAATCCCTTTGGTCTGGTGCCAGTTCTGGAAAACAGTAAGGGTCAACTGGTCTGTGACTCTGCCATCATTTGTGAGTACCTGGATGAAGCATATCCAGGGAAGAAGCTGTTGCCAGAAGACCCTTATGAGAAAGCATGCCAAAAGATGTCCTTTGAGTTATTTTCAAAGGTGTGTATATGAGAAATTCAGCTCCCATTCAAAAAATCTTTGCTTTTTTAAGTGACAGCAGTGCTGTCATTAATGGTTTAGTAATTTGGGAAAGGAAGACAAAACAGGATTATAGTCTTGTCAGTTCCGATGTGTCCTTCAAGCCCTTTCTTGATCAGTTTCTGTTTACCTCTCTAAAGTTACTCCTTTTCACTTTTCTACTGACATTTTTATATTACAGCCATAATGAATGTTTTCAGTTTTCCCAAACTCGTCACCTTATCAACTCTTGCTGGAAGACTCTTCCCCTTCTCACTTTGCCTGGTCATCTCCAAATCCTTTTTCATCTATCTGCTCAGATATTGCTGCCTTCTAGAAACTTGTCCGGACGGGCTGCATGCCCAACTCTGTTCCATCATGGACTGACGTTTCCCTGTTGGTGACCGCTTGCCTTCTTACCTGCTGTGTTGCACCAGGGCTGTGAGCAACTCGTGAGAGTGAAAGCAGTGTTTCTATTACTGTTGGCTCATTGCCTAGGTTTACCACTAGCTCTGCCACTTCTAAGTTGTGTGACTCTTAGCAAGTTACTTATTGCTTTATCTCTGTGCCTCAACTAATCATTGGTAAAATGAGTATAATTGTTCCCACCTCATAGATAAAACCCAATTAAGGTAAAAGACCAAGAGCAGAGTCCAACACGCAGTACTTTGTGTTCTTGTTTTGGCCAATGTTTACTATGTGTTGGCAGTAGCTCCAGTGAAGGCAAGCTGTACTGACATTGATGGGATTTCCGGGAATTCTGTAATTTTATGAGTGCCTGTTTAAACTAGGATGAGTAGACTTCTGTCTCTTGCAATGAGATGATACCAAAGACTGAAGTATTAAAATATACAAACCACTACAGCATTAAAGCATGTGGCATTACACCTGTCCGGTCTTCAGGTAGCCAGTCCCCTTTCATCAGTCTTCTCACGTCTTTCTTAAGGTAGAATTCAGAAAAATTCTCTTCCTCAGCTCCGTTTTGCAGCTGGGGCCAAGGCCTTAAAAATAAGGTCTGAGGCTCTCCTGTCAGGTATATACATGATAGAGTTCAATTCAGAAATAAGCCATGTGAGGAAATAGGCTTGGGGGGGGGGCACTGGTTCTGTGAGTGAGAGTGGCTGGTGGCAGTGCTTCTGGCTTTCAGGAGCCATGGTGGTTGCAAGATTAAATTCTAGAGTAGAAACAGTTTTGGTGCTGGTGGCATTAATTACCTCAGAGTCCAGTTTCTGGCAGTGGTACAAACTGTAACCTCTAGTTTCAGCTCACTGGCAGCAGTGGGTGCTTTTCACCAGGCCAGTCTGAGCACGATTTTGGAATGTTCCAACTTAGTTCCATGCCTGTTTGTTCAGCTTCTCAATAATTCAATGAGACAGTATTCTCTCAAAATATTTTTGGCTCAAACTTGCCCAAGTGAGTTCTGTTATTTGCAACTTATAAAATCCTGAGCAGTACAGCATGTTAGGCCACAAAATTTGTTTCTAAGATCAGAATATGACCTCTGTGAACACACGAACTGGTGTGTCCTTGAAGTTTCTAGAACACTGACACTGGGATTATGGGGGTTCTATTGTGCATTTATGAGGCCGGTACAATTAGCTTCCCACCAATAAATTAAATTATTCTCTGTCTAGGTACCATCTTTGGAAGGAAGCTATATTAGAAATAAAAATAAGGAAGACTGCTCTGGCATAAAAGAAGAACTTCGCAAAGAATTCAGCAAGCTTGAGGAGGTAATCAATCACTTCACCTAGCTTTTATCAGAGTAAATGATATACTATATCTACCCTCTTCTTCCTTCTACTCTTTTCTTCATATTCCCATTTTCCAACTCATTTTATTAGCAATAATACCAAATAAGAAATTTTAGTTTATAACAGATTGCCATAAGCTGTTGTGTTTAAGATATAAACCAAAACACCTAAAAACATTTTGTCATGGGCTTGCTTTTAAAACGTTTTGTTGGACTGACATTAAAATAACAAGGAAAAAAGGAAATTCACCAACATTTTTACAATATGTCACCTGTTTGTTTTCATGCTTGTTTCCAACCTGTGTCCATGCATTAAAAAAAAGATTAACATAACTGTCATCAGAGCATAGATACCATTCTGTTCTTTTTTCCACTTAGTATTATATAATAAACTTTTTCCGCCAAGAAGAGTTTGCCATGAATCTTACACTTGGCAAAGCTGAGCTGTGTTTCACCTCCTTTGGTGGAGAGCTGCCATTTGGGCCTTTAGATTGAGTATTCCTCTTGCCTTTGAGACATTCCAAATAGGTAGATTTAAACAATCAGTCTATAGTGCAGAATGTTATATGGGCCCTGAGAAAAATGATAGACGTTTTATAAAGGGTAAGTTGGTTTTGTGTTGATTAACCAGATAATATTCTCAGTTCCCCCCTTGACAAAACCATAATTCCAATATACCTTCTTAAATTTCAGAAACATATTGTTTTATTTTGCATCTAATTTTATTTGGCATCTGTTTAATAGTCGATCTAGTTATTTCTAGTATATTTTAAGTAAATTTTTTAATTGAAGCATCATATGCAGAGAAGTACTGAAAGCCTAAGAGTATACCTTAATGAATTTTTATAAAGTGAACATAGTCAAGGAACCAGCACCCATGTAAGAAACGGAATATTCGTTTTGGCTATTTTTTGTATTTTATACAAATGGAGTCATGTAATATGCAATCTTTGGGGTCTGACTTCTTCAATTACAGTATTAGGTTTGTGAAGTTCATCTATGTTGTGTGTCGTTCATTACTATTCTTTGTATAGTATTCTGACATATGACTGTACCACATTTTTAAAATCCTTTTCACTCCTGATTGACAGTAAACATTTTTATTTTAGGGCTATTACAAGTAATGCTGCAGTGAACATTATTACACATATCTTTTGGTGAATGTAAGTTCACATTTCCAAGTAGAATTACTGGGTTATAGAGTATGCATGCACTCAGCTTTAGTAGATACTGTTAAAACATGGTTGTAAAAATTTACATTCCTATCAGCAGTGGTTCCATACCCTTGCCCACTTTGTCTTGTTCATTTTAGCCATTCTAATAGATGTTTAGTGGTATTACATTGAGTTCTAATTTGCATTTCCCTGATAACTAATGTAGTTGAGCACCTTTCAAATGGTTATTAGTCATTTGGACATCCTTTTTGTGAAGTGTACGTCTTGCTCAATTTTCTGATAGGTGTTAGCCTTTTTTTCTGTTGATTCCCAGGAGTTCTTTTTATATACTGAATACCAGTCCTTTGTTATATTACAAAGATCTTGTACTCTGTAACTTATTTTATGTTTCTCCACCTTGCAGTTTATTTTGTTGATTGTTTTGCTTCATTTTAAACAGATTCTAAAGCTTAATGTGATCAAATAGACAAAAAGCCAACTTGGATATGTCTGGGTAAATGCTGTGGCTCTCACCTCACTCTATTTAACTCACCTGCATCATCTCTGATGATGAGTCTTACGAGATGCACAATAAGAAGTACTCTTATGCTGTTTAATATTCAGGTTCTGACCAATAAGAAAACAACCTTCTTTGGTGGCAATTCACTTTCCATGATTGATTACCTCATCTGGCCCTGGTTTGAATGTCTGGAAGCACTGGAGTTAAGCGAGTAAGACATTTGAATATTTTGTGCATGATTTAGGATGATGATAATTGGAACAGTATATGTTGACCTTTTTTGGAACAAAAATTAAAATATTTCATACAACTAGTATGAATGGGAACAAGCAGGAGGAAAGACAGGAGGAAAGACTTGAGCACGTCATATACCTACACTCACCCCTCCTCCCCATCTGGGGGTGGGGATAGTTCTGTGACATGTAGTAACATGATTTTAAAAGAAATTTATTCCCTCCCTCCTGGTTAAATATCCATAAAAGGATGTACATTTCTACGAGGCTGTCATGCAGGATTGACCAATGCTACCTCCCATTTACCAGTAAGATTCCCATACTGTTTTTTAAAGTTTGGCAGCCCCCTTGGGTTACTCCCACTTAAAGCTTAGGGCTATTCAGGGCTACTTTTTTATTATTCTTTGAAAACATTTTCATTTATTAAAAATTTTTAAAAATATAAGTATAATTGGTATACAACACTATATATGTTTCAGGTATACAATATAATGATTCAACATTTCTATACCTAACTATGTGATCACCACAATAAGTCTAGTAATTATCTTTCATCAGGCAAACTAATCACATTATTATTGACTATATTCCCCTTTACCTTTGTCACTCCTCCCTTGTGGTAACCATCAGTTTGATCTCTATTTCGTTTATAAATTTTTCAATTACAGTTGAGATACAATATTATATTAATTTCTGGTGTACAATATAGTGATTAGACATTTATTTAACTTATGAAGTGATTACTAAGCTAAGTCTAGTACTCATCTGACACCATATGTAGTTATTATAATATTACTGGCTATATTCCTTATGCTGTAGTTTACATTCCTGTGACTGTTTTTATAGCTAGCAATTTGTACTTCTTAATCCCTTCATTTTATAGTCACAATCTAATCATAGATGGGTTGTCTTTCTTGTTCTCATTTAAAAAAGTTATCAGGCTTTCACTTTGGAAAGGTTCTTATGCTAACTGAGCAAGTCACTTCACTCTAAGATTCCTGTTCCATAAAACAAAGACCTCTACAATATTTTCCAAATCTAATACAGGCATACCTCAGAGATATTGCAGGTTCGGTTCCAGACCACTACAATGAAGCAAATATTGCAATAAAGTGAGTCACAGAAATTTTTTGGTTTCCCAGTGCATATAAAAGGTGTTTATATTATACTGTAGTTTGTTAAGTGTGTAATGGCATTAAGTCTAAAAAAGCAATGTATATACCTTAATTAAAAAATACTTTATTGCTAAAAAAACCCTAACCATCATCTCAGCCTTCAGGAGTCATAATCTTGGCTGATAGAGGGTAATATCAAAGAACAGTAATCACAGATCACCATAACAAATATAATAATAATGAAGAAGTTTGAACTATTCTGAGAATTACCAAAATGTGACCCAGAGACATGAAGTGAACAAATGCTCTTGGGAAAATGGCACCGGCAGATTTGCTCAATACAGGGTTGCCATAAACCTTCAATTTGTAAAAAACACGGTATTCTGCAAAGCACAATAAAGTGAGGCATGTCTGTATTCTATGATTACATGCATTTTAAAGAAATATTTTCAAAGAACTACTTTAAGATTAGTGAACAAAATGAAACTGCAGTGATAATGATGATATATAGGCGATTTTGCAATACCTTCCAATTTAGTCTAGCTTACATTTTCATTCTTTCCATCTCTCACAGGTGTGTAGACCACACTCCAAAACTTAAGCTCTGGATGGCAGCCATGAGGGAAGATCCCACAGTATCAGCCCTCCTCACTGATGTGAAGACCTTTCGAGGTTGCTTAGATCTCTACTTGCAGAATAGCGTAGAGGCCTGTGACTACGGGCTCTGATGGGAGCAAGAGTCAGCAATGAAGATATTTTCCTTCACTAAAATAAATAATAATCTGCTTTCATTTTACCAAGTACTCTCATGTCTCATTGATCACCTTCTCTGAGTTGACATCGAGGCCTGTGGAGTTTCCTCAAATGACTCTGCAGAAATGTAAACATATTTCCTGCTCAGGATGCTCAAATGACTGTCAGGGTTCTATCAGTTTATGCTGAAAACCTCTAAATTATCTCTAGTGAGATCTAGACTTCAACCTAGATTTCTAACTGCCTACAGGACATTTCCAAGTGGATGCCCTGTTGTCATGAGATGCCTTTTCAAGTTTGTCTTTGGAGTTGAGTTGAGAAACTTTCAATTCCTCATTATTCCCTTTCCATCATCAACTGAATTTCACTCTCTCTTTTATTCCCATTGTCACCACTGAAGACCAGACCCACTTCACCTCAAACCCAGGTGGTTAGGTAGCCTCCTATTTGATCTCCCAACCTCCAATCTCTATCCCCTTCAAATCCCTCTTAGCAAAACCCATGCTCCGCACATAACGGGTGTCCCACATATGTAACTGTGAAGACCACACCCATCAATTCAGTATGTAAGGCTGGATGAGTAATAAGTAATACTCCATTCAGAAATATTAATGCCATCTTCCATACATTACCATAGCCAATTGGGCTTCTCACTATTTAATTTTTACCATCTCATCACCTCCGTAAGAAGAAGGTGGGTCAGAGAGCAGCATTTGATTTCACAGATAATTCAGCTAAGGTCCCGAGGTTAAGTGAGCACTTAAAATGCGGCAGAAATATCTGGAGAACATACCCAGCACCCTTTTCTTACTATCAGAATTAAGAGGGCTGTGGACCCACCCA